AATTAACATAGTTAACATCTGTGCGGACGTTTTGTTTGAACTTCATTTGTTTTTCTACTATCATTTTCGAAAACTTCATAAAAAATGGTGCATCTTTTGTATTTAACATTTTTTTATAACTCTAACAATAAAAAACTTAATCCGGGGGACAAAATATTATGAATGACCCTGTTCAAGATCGTCTCATGTATTGTCTGGACGCCTGTGCAAGGTTCTGGTGAAAATTGTGTTTAATACAATAATTTAGTTTATTTTGAGTTTAGATTAAAATTCCTTCCTGGGTTAAAGAATTTTTACTTCCTTTTTGATTATTGTCTGCCTGTTTCAATTAAGTTTATTGCGGTATGAGTTTCAATATCTGTAAAATTAGACTAATATTACATTTATTAAAGGTTACATGCAAATAATAAGTGTTGTAAATTAACCATTCCGTTAATAAAAAAATGAAATATACAGGGTGTCCATGGAAATGGCAGGCAATAATCGGATTTGGGTAGATTCTTTAATAATAACACCAGAAGAGTGTAAATTTTTTTCGGCAGTATTCGTAAACTTGATAGAAAATATAGGTTTTTCATTATAACTATATATTTTTAATAAAATTTTGATCATTTTTGGGTAAAATCTTAATTTAAACATTTTCTAATCTAGTCGACTGATATACGTAGCTACCTTAGGGGGTCGGGGGAAGAGCACCTTCGACAGTTTTGGCCCGTATAAAAATTCATAAACCTACTTTTTTATATCTGTATCTGCTTTTAAGACATTTTTTGTTTTTTTATGTGAAAGAAATGTACATGTTTGCTATCTTTAATTTGTCACATTTTAATACTATTGGGAACAACCAAACGTTTTTCGATATATACTACTATTGATATGAGACGTAAATAGGATGATCTCTTCACTACTAATCGCGATTATGTCAAAAATAGTTCATTTTATCGATAATAAACTTAAAAGAATCCGATTTAAAAAAAATGTAAAAAGTTTGGAGGAAAAGATTATCGAAGATGTTTTGCTCCAGTTCCCCAAAGTGGCTGTCGGTAAATTGATTACATTAGTACAAATAACTTTAGATAATGTAGTAAGAAACAAAACAGTTACACTGTAAGTAAAATTGGACTTTTTTCACTTAATTTCACTCAATAATGTATTCATTTCTGTCCATTCCCGATTGAGTGAAATTTTCTTCTATTAGTATGAATACAACTAAAATTTTATTACTGAAACAGTTTTAGTTCAAATATTATCAAAAATGTATAAAATTATTAAAATGCCCAACATTAATTCGATAATTTCAGTAAATGGATTCACTTCGTACCTTTTTGCTTTCACTCGGACCGATTTATTTACAGTGTATACCGAAAAATGGATATTCAGTTCTCAACTTCAAGAATTAATACTACCGAAGAAAACAATATAAATTTGTGACGTCCTTTTTGCAAGATCTATAGCCGACCATTTTCTGGACACCTTGTATGGCACCTAATTAATTTCAACATCCTGTATATCCAAATTAATCATTTATAAGTGAATTTTTTTCAATCATTTCGTAGTCAATTAAAAACAGCAAAAAATAATGAAGACAAAGTCAAGTCTTAATAATTATTCTTACCTGCTCATAGTAAAAAGTCACTCACTCGACAGCTGCAAGAAACTCACATCTGAGTAAAATTACTCACCTCTGCCGCAATAATTTCAGTCATAAAGTTTGAATTGTACTCATGCTAATAAAATGAAAATTTGTCTCAATCGGATGTGGACAGAAATTGATACATTATTGAGAGTACAATTGCAAGTGTAGGAACGCATTTCTAGAACACAAAATGGAGTTCCTATGGTGTACTTTTAAGTGTGGATTCGCAATTTCCAATGTGAAAACCAAAGGCGCTACAATTTCAAAAATTATCGTTTCAATTTTCTAATTTTTGGTGGATGCGCCGGTATTTTTCGTATCGTTTACGAAATCGAATTATAATCCAGCGACATGGATGCGGATGCGACAAAATAAGCGCGTTTTCCTTCTCCTTTCCTCTCGCGGTATCGCCGGTAAGCGGTAATTAAAATTTATATGGGGAAATTCGAGCCCGACGGGCCGCTTTATAAGTAAAATGGCCGTCGCGCGAGCCGTTGTAGGAGGAGTCGTGAAAGTCGTGAGATTGCAGATAATATCGATCTGTTCGCCGCCGCGAATCATCATTTGTATAGTCGGGCCTGCGCCATGTTGGCCGGCGATAAATCACTGTTTAACTAGCAACAATTTCAATGTACGGCAGAAATGTATATGCGCTATCCGCTTTTTGAAGTAACGCTGTTGGAATTTTAAAAGTATTGTGGTCGTAGCTGGCTTATTTTTCCACAGTTTCTCGTACGAAGAATGTGATAAATTATAAAATAAAACGATTTAAAATAGGTCCTTTTAACTTTTAATACAAGAGACCTATATTAAATTTAACATGTTCGTTCAAATTTTTTTTATTATTTAAATATAAGTTTGGAAGTATTTATCTGTTTACCAATAAAATTGAAGTTTTTTCACCTCAGTTTTGAACGTTGTAGAGCATAAAACGCTGGTCATATTTTGAAAATGAAGCATGGGACCTATACTGTTTTTTAGGTGATGATTTCTACGCTCATATGACGAAAAATATCCGAAAAAGGTATAGAACATATTTGTGCAAACTATTTTTACTTCATAATCAACTAGGTATACAGGGTGTGGCATGTATAATATATAAAAAGTAAACTACAGCTTCCTAACGATATTTGTAATAGAGAAGTCTTATACGAAAAAGTTCTATTGTTGCGTTTTTTTTTTCGTAAATTAAAGTTCAATTATGGATCAAAATATTTTCTCTGGAACGGTATTGCCCGTCTGCTATACGATGAGTTATGTCCTGTAGACCAGCCGCGTAAACAAATCGTCTTTGAAAGATAGAAAGATATCTACTTCTCAATTTTTGGGGAATTTTTCAATGCAAAAGTACAAACAAAGAAAAATAGATATTAAAAAAAACTGATATTTTGTTATTATAATAATTAATAGTATGTAATTACTATCTTAAATGCATTGTTGTTACTGCAAAAGTTCGCAAACAAAACCACATCCGTAAGCATCTGTAGTTGCTAACTGCGTGCACTAAACAAACTCCATTAAAATATGAAACAAAATGAAATAAATCTTACCATTTCTAGAGAAAATATTGAAATTGATCCCCATTAGCGCGGATACAGGCATGGCACCGACGCACCCAATTTTGGCGAATATTTTCCCAAATTCCAGGTATTCCCCTAATTGTGTCAGCAGCTTCAAGTATACGGTTTAGCAATTCTTCCACCGTAGCAATTGGATTATTGTGAACCAATGACTTCAAGTGACTCCAAAGATAAAAGTCCATTGGAGTTAGATCGGGTGACCGAGGTGGTTACGGCACAGGACCAAAGCGTCCAATCCATCACTGAGGAAACATTTCATTCAAAAGCGTCCTTACTTCTCGAGTACTGTATGGAGGAGCCCCATCTTGAAGTTAAAACATGCGTGCCCGAACTTATAATGCCACATCGTCCAATAATTCAGGCAACGAGTTCTCCAAAAAAATCGGTATATGTTGGTCCATTTAATCGTTCTTCAAAGAAATAGGGACTTACAAATAAATAGCCTATTATTCCAGTCCAAACATTTACCGATGTTGAAAATGAGTTTCCCTAATCACGTGAGGATTTCCATCGGCCCATATGTGCATATTATGGAAATTCACTTCATCACGGGTAAATGTCGCCTCATCTGTTACACAAACATCAGGAAAGTCTACTTGATTGGCACATTGCCGTAAAAACCATCTGCAAAAATGCATTCGTTGATAACAAACTCGTTGCAGATCATAGGGGTGCAACAGCTGGCATGGCGCCTTAAGATGCGATGTACGGTACGAGATGACGTTCCTACTTGCTGTGCGTGTCATAAAGTACTAATTGTGGGGTCTTCGTCAAGATTTTCCAACACTGCATCTTCAACTTGCTGACCACGTCCTTCTTCTCGAGGAATGATACTTCCCGTATCTCGAAGCCGCTGAACGCACTGTAGGATTGTATTTGCACATGGGGGGTGACGTTGTGGCCATAGTTCCCGGTACAACTTAGTCGCCACGAGCGCATTTTCTCCTGCTGCACCATACATTAACATCATATCGACACGGAAATAGTAAAACTAGTTCGTGCACAAAGTAAAAAATTAAGCAAAGTAAGAAATAAGAATCTCGTTTTTAATGTATTCGGCACGCTATTCTTATTTTTTACTTCTTTATAAAAATTATACTGTCACTATCGTGGAATTACAAAATAAAAACTTTTGTCTGGAATCTTTCACTTTTTAACACTGATGGGCCGATGGTCGATGCTTAATATTTTAATTAAGTGAGTAATGAATTCAATACAAATACAAAATCAATTGACTGCACAAATTTTTTGATAATGTAACCTAACCTTCTTTTAGTATTACTAGTATTAGATTATAGCTATTTAAATTATAAGGTTGCATCTCGGGTCGCATAAAAACATTTCCAAAGTTTTTAATAAATAACACAGGGTCGGCCTTCATTTTCGTTGAGCAAATGAACTCTAATTTACAAAAAAAAAAAACGCGAAGATAGAACTTTTGCGTATAAGAGTTTTTTATTACAAATATCATCAGAAAGCTGTAGTTTAATTTTTATAGATTATACACGCCACACCCTGTAGATACAATGAGCCCCGTTTTATAATTGTTGACAAAATTTAATTATCTTTAATAAAATTTATAAATGATGGTATAAACGATTAAACCCTTGCACTGAATAGCACAAGTTTTGTCAGTGTGAAAATATAAACATAAGATACAAAGATACTTTCTTTATTCTCATTGTTGGGAATAAAATAACTACAAACCTCAAATCAAAAAGCACCTTATTTCTATCAGACCATCGTAGTGTAATATTTTATTAATATCCTTCCTCTTGTTCCAGATATTGAAGTATTGCGACCATCTACATGGAAAATGGTATTTCTCAGAGGTTAGAGCAATCTTTTCCAGACGTTACCTATTACAGAATAATGCCATCGAAATTTTCCTGGCGAGCAGAAGTAAGTAATAACATTTGCGTCATTACTAAATAATAGATACATAAAGAAAACCTAATCTTTCGAAAAAACATTAGAATCCTTTCGCAGTCGATCGATTTACAAACATTTCTGGTGTACTGCAAAGGTCCACACTGGAACCACTGTGATGCTTTGAGTTTATAAATGATACGACTGCTGTATACAAATATTTTAACATGTTTTCCGGCTTTGAAAATAAATAAAATAATGTTATTAGTCAAAACTTACACATAACAGTTATTCTATTTAAAAAAAATAATGTTTCTGTTTGAGTCTTGAGCTCAGTGAAGCTTATTTTTCAAATTCCTTCGCTCTTTTTATCAAAACGAAACTTCATTTTCATTCCATTCAGCTTCCATCATGTTCGCTTTTCCCGACCAAGCCACCGTGAAGAAGGTGATCAAGGCCCTGCCTAGGGTGGGTGTCGGTATCAAATACGGTATCCCCCAGACCAGAAGGGCAAGTATGATGTCCCCCAGACAACTCATGAGGAACTCCAATATGACGCAGAAATGGCAGAGGAGGGAGATCTCCAATTTCGAGTATCTGATGTTCCTCAACACCATAGCAGGTAGGAAATATTGCTATACCTATATAGAGTGTTTCATGGCGAACTATACCTACTGTAATCATTGGTTTTATAAGCTACTCTATCCTGTACCTAATTACAATATATATTTTTGGCACATGCCACCAGTCTCTAATAATTCTAAAATATCCATTCGTTTATGGCCTCTCAGAAAAATTTACTATATATTTTTTTTCTACTGATTCGCATAACATATTGAAAGTATGCTACGTTTATACTTATAAAAAATTTTCTGATTTTTCCGAATCTGCGAAAATATGAAAGCTGGACCATTTGAAATAAGGATTTTGACAGTTATTTTCGTTATAACCCTAATGAACTGGAAGTAGGAAATATTTTCCTGGAAGAAATCATATCGAGAAGCTCTTAAATATAAATTTTTGTATTTCAATTTGGATTTGTTTAGTCAAAGTTTGTAGTCACACTGGATAATTGTGAGTCCATAGATATATAAGTCTAAGAAGAAAGAGGAAATGAAAATTAATTATTGCAATAAAAAATTATATTTTATTAAGATTATTGACTGTATACAGGTTGTATAATATCGATTTTTCATTCTTATTGTTAGTTAATAATGTTAATGGACGATAAGCTTAAGTTTATGATGTGTTAAACATTGTGTTTGCTAATAGCATAACCTTACATCACCTAATAATACTTCCTATAACCTCCTTAGTTTAATACAACTAAAATAAAATATTTTAAGCAAAAATATTTTATATAACGGCACAAATATCTCCATTACCGTTAGAGATAAGTATAGGGAACCTATACACAATTCGAAAGAGTTTTAAATTACCTAACTTCCAGAGTAAAAATATACTGGGTGTCCCATTTAAAATAACCAAGTTATTGCTGTTTAAAGTTGAGAGAAGTAGCCAGCAGTTTTTTGAACACCATGTACAATACTAAGTGACGACAAATATAATAATTTATAACTTCAAGGATCTAAAATACACTCTAAAGCTGCTTCCTTAAAATTATTTTTCTATTGCAATTAAATTTCTACGCTAAGCCTCCATTTTCACTAAAATTTAAATATCTCACAAACAATAAGTCCTAGGTATGCAGAACCTTTAATGTAGTAAAATACAGGGTGTTTCATTTAAAAATGCATAACTTTGATATGGTGCGCTTTTCCTGAACACCCTATATATTTCAAAATATTTTGAAAATGTAGCCGTAATCAGTCTACATATACCCATCTAAGCAGGTTTGTATAACATTTGCCGTTTGGTCCTTACCGTCCGAGGCGTTACTGGTGGCCCACCCTGTATGTATGCACAGAATTAGCATTTATCCCTCATGTTAATTATATTATATTTAATAAAAGTTTTAGTTTCATTATCAGAAATGCTAAACAATTAAAGAAATTTAAAAATTTTATCTAAGAATTTTAGATGAAGTCAAACAATGTTCTTGGTTCTTCGATACCAGAAATCTAGTTATGCAAAAGATTTCTAACCCCTCAGATAAGACACCTAACTGCTGATATTGTTGATATTAATTAATTCAAACAGACATACCTGATATATTCAAATTGTTAACTAATGTAATAATTCAGAGAAAAGTCTTGTATCCTTACTGTTCTATTATCACCCTTGACAAAGACCAATCACGTGTAAAACAGCTATTACAAATATACCATTTTGTCTCCACACTTAGGATTGTTTCATCAGATAGTTTTCTTTCGTATGGAATTAATAATTATTAATGGAACAAAATTATACATATATGCACATCAAACTTTAAAAAAAAAATCCTTGTGAAAATTAAAAATTATTATTAATACAAAATTACTTATGATAATTATAAGTAACATTGAAAACATAGTTATTATGAACGATCGTGGGTTGGTTTAAGATAATGACTTGCATCTCTATTATCTTATATGTATATTTTGGTAATGATTAAACTTACTGAAGCTTTAAACCACAAAGATGTAGTATTCTCAGTTTTTGGACCATCCAGCCCCTTGAATTCGTTTCTTTCCAGTTTGGATTTGGAGTTAAAAACGATCTGTTGGTTTTTTAATGTGACTTCTTTTTTTTATTAATTTCTAAAACATATTCGATATTATTATTGATTTGAATTTATAATTGATTAGTATCTGCCATCCTTTTGAAACCACCTTGCGCAATTTTAGAGAAGATTGGGTTATATTCAATGCGACCTGTTCGATTTCCTCCCAGATTATCAGTTCTTTCTTTGAAAAATTGAATGCAAGTTGAAAATCCTTCCTCTCCTCTCCATGATAATTCATGAGAAACGAGAAGCAATATGAAAATATTTGGGCTGTCAACCGTTTGGGGTACTATTTTCATTCCAAATCTCGATAATTATTTTATATTCATTACCATTAATGATGAGGGGGTGGCTTTTCTTTTTAAGGGATCATTCTGTAATTTGCTTCGCATAGCTCTTAGAAGAGCTTTAGCGGTCACAAATGCTACGTCAAAAAATGGACTGAACTTAATTTTATAGTTTTCATAATTTCTCATACTGATAGCGCAATCTTCCAAAATATTCACTAATTGGTCAACAGTTAAAGACTGATATGTCCTGTACGTCATTGATGAACTGAATAAACTATTTTCATACGCTTATTTAAGACATTTTTGGTAGGTATTAAATTTTGAACATGTTTTCAAATTACTGTTTGATCTGCTCTACCGAAACGAGACATTCTAACACTACGCAACAATCTCGATGAAAGTTCGTCACCAACTAATATCAACGCGACCGCGATAACAATGATTCGACTTCAAAATGTCTGGTTTGATTTTTAATTTTATTCACAATTTTGGTGTGAAATTTACTTACCGAATACTATACGTGCTTAAATCATGCCGGGAATCTTTTTTTTGGTCACGAATATTTTTAAAAATTATCCCTCATCTTCAACTCGGTTAATTTTCAAAATATTCTAAAAAATTTCCGTAACACTAGTAATATTATAAAGGAAAATAAGTTATTTAATTACTGTCTTACTCTGCTCTCAATTACTTCTTTTCGGGGTCGAAATTACTGCTTCTCGCACCCGCCAGAAATAGCCCCGCTCTCCGATCAAGCCGCCATAAATTACGGCGAACTTTCAGATTAAAGGTGTACGAAAATACCCCAGTCCCATCTAATTAGGCGAAATCGAGGCATTTCTCGGTAAGGAGGAAACCATCCCACATGTGGACATTTTTTGTGGGACGTCGCACGCGAAATTAGCTGTTGTCAGAGGGCTGGCTCCAAATTAAAAACATATACATCACGCTTACCGTCCCGCGTCTCTAATTTTGGAGCGACGTCGCTCGGCGGCCGGCGTAGCGACGCACGTCACTTTTAATGCCGGAGATTAGCGGTTTATTTAGTTTTACGCTGGCGAAGATTAAGAGCTCGTGTTCGGCCGGATTTATGACGTCTTAAAATTTCACGGCTATAATTAGGTTCGGTTTTCAATTTTTGTAACGCGCGGTTTGAGCCGCTCTATCTTTATGGTGATGGGGGTAATTTGCTGCTAGCAGTTGGTAACTAATTTGTAGTGCTGCTGGTTATTTACTATGGACGTTTTTCAGGAAGAGTTATTTAACTTGTTTCCACAACTGAGGAATCCACAGTTTTTAAAATAAACGTAACTTAGAATTCATAAGAATTCGACGAAATAGTTGAAATGAGAGGGATTAAAGTCGCTTTATTAAATCTACAGGGTGGATTCACTTATGATTAATCAACCCCAGTGCTTGTGAATTGTAGCTCTGAAATAGGCTGGTGTTCCACAGGGAAACCATGTTGCTCCGTTGCTCTTTTTAATGTACATAAACAATAAACAAAACCTTCATAAATGATTACAAGCCACGTGACCAGTAATTTTGTTCGGAACAGTAATTTCCTTCATGTTGGTAATTAAATTTCAGTAAAATTAAAAATCACTTATAAGATGAAGATTACATTAAAACATCACACTCTCTTTTATCGGCTGTAATTGCTGAAATGTATCACTAGATTCTATTCAGTTAGGCGATATTTTGCATTGTAGTAGCTATGTCCTGTTTCAATTTGGTTAGTGCATCTCCCTGGGTTTTCAGTATTCAGTACCTACCTATATATATTTTCAGCCACGAAAATTGAATAATTCCAAATATCTCAAATTTTCACCATCAAGAACGGCGATGACAACATTTTTAACAGTAACGCGATATTTCGTTCTTTGTTAACTATGTCCTGTCCAAATTTGGTTGACAATAGATGAGATAATTTTTGTAAGATTAATCACTTAATAATTAATAAAAGTTATGATACTCGAAATAGATTTGCATTTCAATACAACTTACTATAGGTTCCAATGTTGTTGAAAACTGTTTTTAGTGTCAAGAATCTCGAAGTCATATTGAACAGTAAGTTGTTATTCGATAGACACATGGTTGACATGGCGCGATGACATGTACGTGATGTTTAATCGTTGGGATTTAAGAAAGGTTTTAAAGATATTGAAAGTGTGTTATGCCATTTCCTTCTTCCTCAGTTAGGTCACAGTTTTTAAACTAGCTTAAGTGTCGAATCAGATTAACGTTGAAAATAGTTTCATAGAATAATGGACAATTTATTTTCCTATTTAAATAAAATTGAACTGGAGCAAAATATACATACATCCGAAAACTGTCATATCACATTGTTTCTGTACCATTACCGCGACATCGCCACCAGAATATCCCGGAGAATTCCCAAATGCATTCTCCCTCCCCTACCGGGGCTTTAATGCCATCCAGAGACCGAAGGGGAGCGAAACGGCAAAGTAATCCTCCACCCGCATGACTGAGGTGGCGCCTAATTCGTGTTGACGTTCTGCGTCCGTCGCTCCCGCTTCGGCGGCGCGCCCTCGGGATGCGCCGCGACGCCCGGCGTCTCCCCTCCTGCGGGATCGCGGGAATAGCGCACATTCGTAACGGCGTGCAGTCGCGTACGGCGCCGTAACTCAAACTAATGGGATAATTAATTAACATTTGGAATAGTTTGGTTTCATTACGGGGCCTTTTTTTATTTACTGATGTTTTCATCGTGAAATATCGAATGCATGTTGGATTTTACACGGGACATTCCCGAAAATCGTGAAAATGTATTGGTTTCTATTATAAAAATGAAAATATTTTCGTTAGATTGATGAAATGATATTTTAAAAAACTTGTTTCTCGAACATACAGGTTGGTATTCATAAAAAATAAGGTAATACTTAAGGGGGGCGTTTTTATTCATAATTTTCAATGAATTCTCGATCGACTGTACTTCTTTCCTTTCTGCAATGTTTTGAAAAGAATTTTACCAGCCAAGTTATATACCCAATAACATTTCCAACTAGATATAAAATAGTTTTGTTCATGAACTTGCTTCACCCCCTGTTAAAGTTTTTTAAAGTTATTTTTTATGCAATCTAGGTATATGAGAAAGACAAAAATTTAAGATAATCCAATAATTGTAACTAGCAACATCTACCAATAAGGTCAAAATAATCTGTTGAAATTTGATTGGTCAAATCATTTTCGAAATATCGCCAACATTTTTCTGATTTACCCCATATTGGTCTTAGATATCTCCCATTAAGATGTATTTCATTCTTAGAGAATATTCTCTATACTTAGTGCTTCTTTTGATAGTGATAATGAATATTCACTGGCTTGTGAAATAAAAAAAAAATCGAAAGTATAAAGAAATTTTAATATGTTGTATGTTACAAAGAACAAACGAACTTACGTGTATTATTTTCTGGTAAGGCGCCACACCTTGATATATTTTGAAACACCCTGTATATTTATCTTTATTTTTATCCTCTAAAACATATCACCTCCCCAAAAGCAAGGAAGGTGTTAGTATTATTTTTGCCTTAAATTTAATTCTCTCTTGTACACCTTTTTTATATTTTTTTCCTATAAAAAATCGTATAAGAAGCACTGCATTTTGTTGATTTTTCAACATAAACTTATTTTAGGTCGGACCTACAATGACCTGAACCAGTACCCAGTTTTCCCTTGGGTACTGACCAACTACGACTCCAAAGATTTAGATCTCAGCCAACCTAGCAATTATAGAGATCTCTCTAAGCCCATAGGCGCCCTAAATCCCAGCAGGAGAGCCTACTTCGAAGAGAGATACTCCACTTGGGAACACGAAAGTATCCCGCCCTTCCATTATGGCACCCATTACTCCACCTCCGCGTTCGTCTTCAACTGGCTGATAAGAATAGTAAGCAAATGCAAATTATCACTATTACTGCTTTGAAATAAACAACACATTTTATTATTTATAATTTTAAAGGAAAAGTAACAATATTGATCCTTCGAACCGGATGTATCATCAATTTATGAAATCATTTGCAGGAACCTTTCACGACGATGTTCTTGGCCCTGCAAGGTGGTAAATTTGACTATCCAAACAGGCTCTTCTCTTCGGTGTCCTTATCCTGGAAGAACTGTCAAAGAGACACCTCGGACGTAAAAGAACTGATCCCCGAGTTCTACTTCCTCCCGGAAATGTTCGTCAACGCTAACCGGTACAGACTGGGCTTGAACGAAGATGGGAAACCCATAGGAGACGTAGACCTTCCTCCTTGGGCTAGTTCCCCAGAAGAATTCGTGAGGATTAACAGGATGGCCCTGGAATCCGAATTCGTGTCCTGCCAGCTGCATCAGTGGATAGATTTGATTTTTGGCTACAAGCAAAAGGGTCCCGAGGCGATAAGGGCCACGAATTGCTTCTATTATTTGACTTATGAGGGTAGCGTCGACTTGGATTCCATTCAAGACAAACTGATGCGCGAGGCCATCGAAAACCAGATCAGGAACTTCGGTCAAACTCCATCACAGTTGTTGATGGAGCCTCATCCTCCCAGAAGCTCAGCAATGCATTTGGTAATGTTATTATATTGTTTATAATTGGGTTTCTCTTATTCACAATTTGCTTTTTTTATATATATTTTCAGTCTCCGATGATGTTCGCCAGCATACCTGATGACGTCTGTATGACCATGAAATTTCTATCTAACAGTCCCATCGTTCACATTTCTGCCAATACTTACCCTCAACTGCCAAATCCATCTGTAGTAACAGTAACGATGCACCAACAATTCGCTGTAAATAAATGGAACTCTACATACGCAGCCGTAGCGCAATCACCTATTTATGCTGAAACAACGCAGACAGCCACTTCTAATTTGCCACTGTCTATGGATGCTGTTCTTTGTAAGTCTTTATTTAATACAGGTATAGTGATTTAACACTATACTTACATTGAGCCATCTTAAGGCTTTATCTTATTTGGTCCTTCAAACCGAATTTGTACCTATATTTTTATATAAACATCATATTTATGTTTTATTGAACGATTTTTATTGTTCCAATTTTTAGCTCAAACCAACAACAGCAGTGCTCAAAACCAGATGCAGAGGCGACACCTGGGCGACAACTTCAGCCAAAACCTGAAGATCCGCTCCAACTGCTTTGTGACTACCGTGGACAGCAAATTCCTTATATCCTGCGGCTTTTGGGACAACAGCTTTAGGGTTTTCTCCACCGAAACCGCCAAGATAGTTCAGATCATCTTCGGGCATTACGGAGTGGTCACCTGTCTGTCCAGATCCGAGTGCAACATAACCTCCGATTGCTACATAGCGTCCGGTTCCGCGGATTGTACCGTTTTGCTGTGGCACTGGAATGCTAGGACTCAGACTATTGTTGGTGAAGGAGAAGTGCCGACACCTAGAGCTACCCTAACAGGACACGAACAGCCTGTCTCGAGTGTGGTTATCTCTGCTGAATTAGGACTGGTTGTGTCTGGATCATACAGTATGTATATTTTTTCTTGTTTAAGAGTGGTTTGACCATAATCAGCTAGATCACGTCGTCTTTGTAATATCAATCAGTGTTAATGCAGCAAACTAGAAATTGAACTAATGCCTTTATTTAGAACGTTGAAGATAATGATTTTCTATTATCTTCTTGTAGATGGTCCCGTATTGGTACACACGACGTTCGGAGATCTGCTGAGATCGCTGGACCCACCCAACGGATTCAATTCCCCTGAAAACATAGCAATGTCTCGGGAAGGTGTGATCGTAGTGAACTACGAGAAGGGAAATATCGCAGCGTTCACAATAAACGGGAAACGTCTCAGACATGAGTCCCACAATGATAATTTACAGGTGAGTTTAACAATTGCAACGATATTTGTGTAACGTACTGTGTGTGTTTGGCGATCTATTCAAATGTTTTTTTAACGATTTCAGTGCCTATTACTTAGTCGGGATGGCGAGTACTTGATGACGGGCGGCGACAAGGGCATCGTGGAAGTATGGAGGACGTTCAATTTAGCTTTGTTATATGCCTTTCCAGCGTGTGATAGTAGCGTTAGGTCTCTTGCGTTATCACATGATCAAAAGTGAGTAGAAATTTTAATTTACGTTTTTGGCATACAGCGTCATCAATAAAGAATGCATCATAGGGGAAAATTTTTTATTAATTGATTTTGTCAATTACTTATGTTTAAAAAAAATAACATCAAATGATGCAGATAAAAGCAATTGTATTTTTCAATATCTGCCAAATTTCAAATTCTATTAAAATAAGCAAGAAATTTTTAAATTAAAGAGACTTTATCACGTGATAGAATAGAAATAAATTTTTATAGAATTATTTATTTTACTATTACATTGTTATATGACTATTTTGAACATTTATTATTATTTTTTTTAATGAGATTATTAGAATATAAATGTACAGGGTGATTTAGAACTTATCAAAAAAAAAAAGTTGTTGTACAGGGGACTCTTGCAAATACAATTTTGTAAATAAAAATCAAAAAGGGCAGTTCAAAAATGATTTAAAAATACACTTCTGCATGGCACTGGAAACTGGTCCACTGTAAAACGCGACCTTACACAAGGTGAAGTGTAATAAAAAATGTACAAAAACTTGAAAGATTTTCGCAAGAAAAGAAATAAATAGAATTTTATGACACATCAGCAAATTCAACTGCTTTTGCCGCTATTGTTATTATTAATTAATCACATTCATTTGTGGTTTTACTTAATAAAATAAATTGACATACCTGATGTTACAACAACTGTTCAAAATTTTGTCCACCGAGATGTAAACACATTTGGGCTCATCTTACTTAATTTCTACGAACTAACACAAATATTGTCTTGCTTCACCATAAATTAAAAAGATATCCATCAACTCCGAGTTGCTATATACGCAAGCCATTTTTGACACTAACTACTAAAAAACTATTGTAAACATTATTGCAACGACGATTATAAAATCGAATTTCAGTATTCGGATTCGCTGGGGCTACGTGAATCTAGAGACTACAGTTGTCCAGCAATGTAATGCTTGAAAGTACTACAACTTCAATAATTTTTTTCTCAGAAACAGGATTTTACTAATTTTTTTAAAAATATTTTTGGGTAAGTTGTGAATCACCCTGTATTTTATACAATAATTTATCAGCATTGCCTAAATGCGTTTATATTGTTAAATATTAATATTGACTAAATTTTTTTATGGAAAACAATATTAATTTTTTTATATAGAGGCCGTAATTCTGAATGGGGGTCAAAAAAGCTTTATTAGAGTCAATTTATTTTGATTTAACATTGTAATAGACATATATTGAATTTTCAAATCTCCTCTCCTGGTACTCAATTTTTAAAAAAATTAATTAAAAAAAATTCTCTCCTGTGTTGCTTACTTTATTTGATAACAGATTCCCAATAAATGCCGAGTTAACAATCATTTTCCATTGCCAGTACCTCGGAAATTATTTAGAAAACACGGAAACGATTATTGATAAATGCTTGTGTAGGTACATTTTCTTGGTAACGGGAACGGCAACAGAGAAAGTTTATAAACCTCTCCTACTAACAATGGCCAAGTCTTTAAATTTAGCAGGAAAAGTTCGATGAATTAGTGCACTGAATCGGAAATGACGTCATTGATGCGTTTGATAAAACTTCAGTGATTCGATTATAAAACGCAATCATTTTCTAATTTCACTATTTTGACAAATAATGAAAAATAAAACTAAGCTATAAAAATCAACTTCAGACATTAATTTCATTTCAATATGGTGGTTGTAAATAAGTGTGAAATATTTTAGGGGGTGTTTGCCGAAGTTATTTTGTGAAAAAAAGTTCATATAAATGTAGATCGAAATATGCTTCATTTCCGAGATACAGTGTTTAAATGTTAATTATTTATTTATTTTTATTAATTTATTTCAAAAACTTTTAAAGATATTTACTCGAAATTTGAAAAACGCTTTGGAGGAATAAATGTGCATTTTTTGCCACAATGCCACAACTTTTTTTTAATAAAAAAAATGGTACGCCACTGATTTTTCCCGTTTTGATATTTTTTTAGACATCCACCATCAATTCTGAATGAAATTGGTCTCTTCAATTTTTTCGTAGGATACACCGTTTTTGAGGGGAAAAATATAACAATATTTTATTATAGGTTTTGTTAATCTTTTATTTAAAGGTGCAAGTAGAAATATTCGGATCACCCCAAAAAATGCACATTTATCCCGTTTTTCAAATTTCGCGTCATTATCTTTAAAAGTCTGAAATATTTAATAAAAACACAAATAAAAAATTAAAATTTAAACAGTTTCTCGTAAATGAAGCATATTTCGACCTACGTTTATACGAACTTTTTTCACAAATTAACTTCGGCAATCACCTCCTAAAATATTTCGCGCTTATTTACAAACACCCTGTACATCTCAACAATTTCCTTTCTTAGTCTAAAATGATCTTGAAAATATAATTTTTTTGGTGAATTTCAGTTGTTACTTTTTTAATTCTTTCTTAGTCTGGATTATTAGGTCAAGAAATATATCGAATAAAAAAATATGAAGTTAACTTATTTTTAACATGCAATAAAAAAGTTTTATTGAAATTTTAATAAATACTTTTTTTCCATTGATAATTTTAAAAACTTGCCCGACTAAATAAATTACAAGAAAAACTGAAATAAAACCACTTCGTTGTGTCCTGCAGGTTCTTACTAGCAGGGCTAGCCCTAGGATCGATAGTCGTTTTCCACATTGATTTCAATAGATGGCACCACGAGTTCCAGCAACGTTACTAGAAACCACTTCGAGGGGGGTAAATTTCGTTCCGCTTCTAACTTAAATAAAAAAAAAACTAGTACTTAATTACCTATTGTACTTAATTGTTCATATATTTTATGGTTTTTATGGTGTTTACTTAATCCTTAATGTTAATGATTGATTTTTGTTGTGCAATAATTTTATGACCGATAACGGGGCGTGGAGCCTCGAGTTCCACCCCTTTACCTTGTTCGGGTAGGTGTAGATACGTCTCAGTTCTTATTGCGTTATTAGTGAAAGTATTTTACATTACGGATTTTAAATATTGCGGTAATGTTTGACATTTTTCAGATAGTGTATATTATTATTATAACCTTGTTTTTGTAGCTTGTAACGAGTATGTATTAAGGGTTGGGCGCCCGCTCTCTTGTCATTTTGACAGGAATTGCTCTGTATTTTAAACGATTCATCTCCACGGTTAATCGTAAAGGACGTGAAGGGATGTCCTTGAAATTGGAAGAAATAAAATTTTCCACGTTAATCCTCTTTGAGCTTTTTTGTATCGTTATCGTTTTAATTCTCAGAACGTTTTATCCAAAGGACTAAAATTCCTTCAATCTTTTTTGACAATTTTTGGTACAAACTTTTAGAAATAATTTTGGATACATTACTCTGTTTTTGGTTAAAATTATATGTACAGAGTGTTTCAATGTAAAACTCCCCTGGTCGATATCTCGTAAACACAGTTAAATTCTATAAAAAATGTTGTGTGTTGCACGTAGGTGACGATTCTGAATATAAATGATATTTTCTCGAATACGGGAACTTTGGAAACTGATGGTCCACTTGAAAAACTAGAACATCGAAAGTACGATACTTACATGTTTTGCTCAGTGTTGCCAACCATAGTGGAAATCCGCAGTCTATAGTGGACTTCAGGTCTGATTCAAAATGTAGTGACATTTCCACTTCATGAAACACTTTTAGTCATGTTTAATTTTGTTTTCAACACATTTTTTGTGCAAAAATGATAAAAGTTTATCAAATTTATTCAATTTATTCCAAAACATTTTTTTGTTTTGATTATATGTTGTTGTTGTTAATTTTTATAATGCCCTAATGACTTTTCATAATTTATGGTTGGCAGTACTGGCTCCGGAGCATATTTAATTGTTTTTAGAAAATTTATGGGAATTTTTTAATGGAGATTGCCGACATTTTCCGACACAATATTATTTAAATTTGTACACTACTCATATAAACAATTTTGACAAAACATCCAGTGTCCCAAATATTCAAATTTGTAAGTACTTTTTCACAAAAGTGATTATAACTTTTCCAAAGTTTATTTTGGGTTATTATTGGTGCTTTGGAACTTAAAAAAAATCCTTTTAGGATTAAATATGTTTGTAAAAATGTTTGTATTGCAATAGTTGCTCATAATTTAATGATTTTTCCAAAATCGAAAAATTATTTTCGATCCAACCACTATTTATACCACTATAAAGAAAATGCCATCTGTACTCGAAATTGAAGCAATTTATGTGCACTACACAGCAATTTTTACAAAACATCTCTTGGTTTTTGAAATATACTGATTGAAGAAGTATTGAAGAAATTAACGAGGTTTTTATGGTGGATTTTATTAATTCAAACATTTATTTTATGTAGGCGGAATCAGCTTAGAAATATAGTCATTGGTGTTTCGGCCATATCTTTGCAGCCATCTTCAGGATTCGATGGCGTTTTGTGATTTACAGTACCATGTAATACAGTTTGAATAAGTCTGTAGCAAAAAATGAACCTGAGAGCGCGCGCCCAAAGGTAAAAGTCAATCTTCTGCTGGCTTTTTCGATAATGTAAGTTTCTAAGCACTGTAGTGTTGCTTACGGCTTGCACATCCGACGCCAGCAATTGTTAAGGCCATTCGGCGCACTTTTTCGACACGGTATGCGCAACGTCCGCCGAGATGCAGCGCATACGGTGTTCTAAAAAACATTCCCTCCAGCAAAAATGTATTGTAATATATTGCAAATCTGTCCAGAAAAATCAAACTTATTGTATATAAGTAAGATTGTTTTCTTTTTTTATGAAACGCTATTAAGTGATGTGTATTTGAAATGATTACTTATTATTTTATTACTTACGGAAGAATTGTACTTAACTGTAAGAAATACTGTATGTTTGATGTTAGCAATAATGTTACATTCATGATTTGTATACACGATAAAATATGAAATAAATGTGTTTTGTTCAGGGTTTCTTTCATTACCCACGTGTTGCTCTACGCCTCTTGTGTTCTTTCTCGATTGCATTAGAAAATCGGTTTAGATGTAATACGAAGCTTAAATTTTATATTTAATAGGATCTGATAATTGAATCATTTGAACTAATCAGTTTTGTAGATTTTCTCAGTGGCAAGCAGTTTTTTTTTCAGTGTAAGATTTAGGCAAGAATAATTTTACGCTATTGTAAAAGTATCAAACAAATTCTTTAATACTAGAAATTTAGATATGCAAAAGATATCTAATCCCACAGACAAGATTTCTAACTGTTGATATTGCAGAAAATAACTACCCTATCTTGTATTCCTTCTATTCTATTATCGGCCTTGATGTAGACTAATCACACAAAAATCAATTACTTGTAGTAGTCTGGGTCGACGTTCAATCACAGTCCTTGATGTGTCCGCAGCGGTCCTGCAATGATGTCCACCGTAAGTTTGGACAATTGGCCTATCCTATCCTATAGCCTAATGTGGTAATTTGGCTTTGTCTTGCCATTCCCTGGTTAGAATTCCGTAATATTTGGAAAACTTTTCAGTTTCCGAGATTCAAAACTACGGTGAATTTCCTATTTTTTGCAGCACGTTGGTGGCTTCTTACGAACCTCAGCGGAAAGGACCAAGCACGTTTCTTATGGAAAATGGGTTTCGGCCATTTTTTTTTTGAATCTGCGAAACTAAAACCCAACCCCCCAAAACCACCCCCAAAGGTCGGGAAAGCATGTAACAAGCTATATTGGTAGATTGCCTAACCGAAATATTTTACTACTGTAGTGGGATCTCTAGCTGTACCCACACCATCACTAGGCTCGAGCCTTTCATCCTCTACCACTCCCTCCCCCCTCTCCCGCTTTCGCACCTACCAAAGCCAGCCATGTAGCTTATTATTTCTTACTAGTTGTGAACCCATTTGATCGTACATTTCAGCCTACAGCCACTTAGTCCATCACCTCACACGACTTCAAAATCCCCATAATTATACCCCACCCCCAAACCTCCCAATACCACCCCCTACCAAAGCCTGCACGGTATGGTTTTACCGCGGTCTTTCAGGTTATGAAACCATTTGATGATGTATTTTATCTCACAGCGATCGAAACCACAAGCCCCTTCGGCCTCTGAATTATACCCCCACCCCAACCCCTTAAATACAACCCCTTCCAAAGCCTGCCAAATGACTTTGCACATCTTATGAGTTGTGAAACTGTATATTATCCCTCAGTGACCCTCATAATACAACCCCATCCTTTAACCTTTCATCTCCCCAAAGCCCACCTTACAACTTTTTACTTTTTACTTTACTTTTTACTGCTTACATTTGATTATGTATTTTTTCCACATCAACTAAAATCGTCACTACACACGACTGCGACCCTTGGAACCCTCAACGAGTAAACGCCCAGCCCACCAGACCCCACAAACCCACCCCCTTCTAACGTCAGCTTCATAGCTTTGGACATCTTACGGGTTGTGAAAGCATATTCCATCTCACAGCGCCTTAAATCATTACTACACACGACCTTACGACCCCCGATTCATATCTGCGCCCCCAACTCCTTCCAAAGCCTATCACACGGCTTTGCACATGTTACGGGTTGTGAAATCATTTTTCATCCCACAGCGACATAAATCATTACCAAACCTGAACTACACATGACTTTTCGATGTTAAGATGTCCAAAGCTATGAAGCAGACTTACTCGTTGAGGGTTTGAAGGATCGCGGTCATGTGTGGTTTTAGAGCTTCGTGCCCATTGAGACTTTTGATTGACGTGTTGTGAACACATCGCGGAATGAAAAAATAAGGAAGCACTACAAATAGAAATTAGAAAACGATTTATTATCACTCTTGAGAAATCTTGTTTTGATTATAAAAAATGGTGCAATATCCAAATGATAATTATAGTAATAGCTGAAAATAGGCATGGTATTCTTTTAATTTGTAGATTCTTTAATATTGAGTTTAATATCCTCTAGTGACTGACAAAAATTAAAAAAAAGGCGAAACCAAATTGTTAGTTAATTTTACTGTAATATTCGTAACATTCAGTAACAAAATATAAATAATTCGAATAATTCGATGATCGAAGTAATCCAATTATTTCGATGATTTTTTTTTAAATATCTCGAGATAATTTAGTAGTTGAAGTCGCACACCGTTTCATCTCTCTTATTGTCTTCCCAATACAATTCAAATAAAATATATCGGACGATTGTACAATCTGAAAACGCCGGCGCCGAAAAGCCATAGGTACATACTACATAACCATAACATTCATTAATTCATAAATCATAACATAATACTCAATAATCGTGGCATATTACAAATTCGATTAAATAACTCGATTTTTTTTCATAGTTCATATTATATACGTTGTTAATTGTTAATTTAATACCTAAATAAATTCGATTATACATATATCTCGAATTATTATTTCGATTATGAAATACTCGATGTTACTAATATCTCGATTATGAAAATATCCTGATTATTCCCATCACTATAAAAAAATAAGAAGTGACATTGGACATAGGGGATATTTTGACCCTATAACTACACCATGGACATGAATATACTTTTTCCAGAGACCTTCACTCTCATGAAAGGTAGGTAAAATTCCTACAATTTGAAATAAAAATGTCAACTTATACAACCGAATATACACGGGTCGCTATTGGTGGTTACGTCCCAAACATCCATTTTCAATCAAATTCATCCCGAATTTTCAAATGTTCGAATTTCGGTTACTAAGGACTTCATTTCTTACTTGAAATGTGTTATTTTTGTTCAACAGTTTTGAATAAAACATAACGTAGTTATCGGTACGCAAAAAACCCGTGTTCGTCAAAAAAGTGCACGCCGTAACAAAAATGTTGCGGTAAACCCTAGATAAGTTCGCCGTGATAAAACTTGACAAAACAACGTTTAGAAGCGTATGTCGCATCTTGGTGTGTTTTGTTCCGTAATTTTAATTTTATAGTTATATAAATAGTAGTCATAGTAGTCTTAATAATTCTAAACATTAATTTTGTAACAAAAACTGTACGTACGCGACAATTACGTTTATGTAATTGTTATAGGTGGTTTGTTAAAAAAGAACTAGTGTATTTTGCTGAATTTTAATGTGTTGTGTTCTGATTTTGAAGTGGTTTATTGCGTCTTCTGTACTTACCTGTAAACCTGTACCTTTTTTATCTGCAGGGCCGAGTCGAAACTATCTATAAAGTGGATGGAAAAGGTTAGTAAACATTTAGGTTATGATTATGGTAATTTGTAAGTTGATTTTTAACAAAATTGCTTCGATTTTCTAAGCTTCGCCTAGATGACATCAATTTTGTATATTTGTAAATGTAAATGTAAATTTAATTAACTAAATTTTGTCTTTCGTCCTGTATAATCCTACCGCCATCTTGAGAGTAGAGCACGAAACTGATTTTAAAAACTATAGGGTATCCCAAACGGAATATCCAGATGTATATAAGAAGAATTTTTAAAATACTTAATGGTAGCTTTCTTAAATATACAGTCTAAACAGCAGCTAACAGTTTCAGAAAAAATTACAACCTACTCGGAAGGTACCTATGTATGTAATATTTTTAAAAAGTAGTAAAATAGTTAATGAATTTATTTGGAAAAATTTTTCTCGTAGTCTCGTAGTCGATGTGAAAGTGACACATTTTCTAATTTCGTATCTTAAGAAGAAAACAAAAATGTCTGTGTTAAGTGGCATTTTCATCTCTTGTAAAATATACCTACTATTTTCAGTGACAGAAAAACTGTTCGACTTTTTTCTCTATTAACAGGTGTAAAACTGTTACATTTTTTACCATGGAAAAAAATTCTTTTGCCAAATTTTATTACGTTTTTAATTTCTTATAGCAAATATTAGGTATTGTCACAGAATAAATCAGATTATACAGTGAAAAAAAAACAGTAAAATTTTAGCGCTTGATTTTTCTTCTTCATTCGCTTCCACTTTAGAAACAAACGTTACACCTTACATGATTATTTTTAATTTTATAAAACCTGTGTGTATACTTTCAATTTTGGAACACCCTGGACTTTGTCAGTAGCTTTGTACTCAAAACTAGGTAAATAATTTTTAGATCTGTAGCAAATGTGAAATGAAAACTAGGCACACAAAATAATAAAACTCACCCACATTTCTAACATTTACTAACTATGTACCTACTATATACAAATATACACATCACCTTTATTACACATACACGTTACAAATGTACGTATATCACCTGTATTTATCCATTATCACTATTATTCTATCGTATATTAATTTTTTGGCATCGATTCCCCATACAAAATCTATATGGTTGAAGTCACTGTGAGGCACTGGAAATTTACCCACTGGGTTTGGTAACTCTTTTTCAATATAATCTATGTCCTAAAAAATAGTCAAATTAATAATTTTCAATGCAAAATATAATCTGAAACTGTCCAGTACTTTGCTATTTTCCCAGATACCTAAGTACAGTACAATTAAGTAGAATATATGTTTTTGTTTTATTAATTTTGACGCTTTAATATTTTCTGAGGTATGATTGGCATTATTGATAAAAGATATTGTAAATAAGTGCTAGCATATACCTGTTCCGTTACTAGAAGATCACCATTTCCGTAATGTAGCGATATAGGATGTGTAACTGTTGACAAATTATAATGTGGCGGATCAGTTTGATTATATTTCTTGAAGTTTTCCTCATTATTTCCATAGTCCAAAGCTGACAGGGTTCCTGAAACGTTTGAAACTGAAAAAGCTTATGCCGAAATTTTATATCTATAAGAAGACGATATTTTCAGTTCAGAATTTATAGTAATAAACCGAGCGTTTTGTATTAATGGTACTTCCATACTTTAGTAAATTTCCAGTTTTCTTTATGTAACATCTACAATTTTATTATTTGTTTATGTGTAACTACTTGTACTTTTTTAATTATGACCAATTTATTATTTTTTCAAATTCCAGTTCACAAAAATAAAATATAAACTAATTTTTCGACTCACCATTTAAATAAATTTGAAGGGTGTGCCTAATTAAGTAAGTAGATGTTCCAGCAGGGAAATATGTAGTCATATCTGGGATGCATTTCTGGAAAAAAAGATCATCAAACAGCTCAGTGGATATAAATAATGTCTAAGTTTAAATTTATAAGCTTGGCATTTTTAATTTTATAATACTTCGTCACCAAAATAATGTGTCTTCTTAAAATTACAACTTTTTACATTTTAGTTATTTTAGCAAGGCCTTACCGTATCAAATTGCGAATAGTCTGCTCCCACCAATAAAAATACTGTAGATATGCATAATTGCTGTAAAGGAGTCCCGTCGTTACATAGCATCTGCATTAATTTGGCAAAAAATGGCCTACGGGGAAACATATTGTAAATTTGATTGGCTAGGGCGGTTTGCTGAAACGAAAAATGAAAGTAGTATACAGGGTGTCAAAAAAATAATGTTACAAACCAATACTAGTATTGCTTGTCAAAGCAAGAGATAAAGTTTCTATGACAAGTTTTAGGAAGCATGTTCATAGCAACATTTTCTCTTATTTTGACAAAGATTACTTACTTTTGAGGCTTGTTACACTATTTTGTTAACACTCTGTATACGGTTTCAAATCAGCTATCAGTGTTGAATTTAATTCGGGAATATTGGAAGAGGTACTTACTATCATCGGGACTGTAGGTAACATAAAAATTTTGTGGGAAACAGTAATGGCATGCGTAACGTAAACTAACGGGGCCAAAGATAGATGAAGCTTTATTTTAGAATTGTACTCCGGCCTTAAGGTGCAAAGGATCATTCCTACTGTCGATCCGATGGAATGCCCTAAGAAGTAAAGGTTTGAATGGTTGGTCATATTTAATATGTAGTCTATGATCGCTGGTAAGTCGTAGTATGCCACTTCGTGTAATCTGGAAAAAAAAAACATCGTAATTCAACTCTATTTTAGATTACGTTTATGTTTTATGATTAAGATATTCTCTGAAATCCTACATTTTTTCTTTAAAATCAACTCTCAGTTTTGTTTTGACTTTTTTTGAGAGACGGTGCATAAAATTACACAGACTTTGACTTACGTGAAATCCCAGAAAGTCGGATCTTTATCTGGATTTAGTACTTTATGAGCCTTAGAGTAAACATTTCCTCTCATATTGCTGATCCATACGTCATATCCTGCGTCTGCCAAAATGTAGGCTGCAATAAAAAAATGTAATGAAAATTTGTATCAAATAAGTGATAAATAAAGAACTATCGAAGTTATAACAGATATATGGCAAAATTCGATGTAATTAATAATAACTTATTATTATTTTAATAGTTTAATTGTTATTTTGCAGGGGGAACTTACCTTTATTTTCCCTTTTGTTCCCCGTTAAAAAACTTCTTGGTTCTTCCTTGTTTTTTTTTTTTTGTGGGAAATTTTTTAAACTTACGCAGATTAACGTTGGGGCCTTGGAACATCCACATATCCGAAGCTGACACCAGTCCGTGTTGGAAAAGGGCTACCGGTCTTTTCGTGTTGTTGGACTGTTTCCTTTTTATTCCATAAGGTATCCGGTGCAGACTCAGAATATATCCTGTCTGAGATGACACTTCGTGGGCTTGAAAAGGGTACCCAAAGCTTTCCGCCAAATCTTGCTGGAACAATATTTTGATAAATTTTATTATAGGTTTAGTGAGTGGTAATTTTTCCTGTGGTCTGAACCTGATACTTTTTTTGCAAGTTGTAGATACAATTACTTATTAACTTTTTAGCCTGTGCTTTGAGACTGGTAAAAAGAATTTACAATGTGCAAATATAAGCAAAAAATGTTTTTTCAACTTTATGGCACCGGGTGGAATGTTTCTATGGTGTTAATTTTATTAAATAATATACATAATGTCATTAACAGCCTTAAATGTAATTATTATTAGTAGTCAAGGGTAGAGACTAAGAACAAATTTTAATGAAAACACATATTTTTACTTGTCGACGTGTGTATAGGTATTTTGTGATGTCCTCAGAACAGCTAAAAGTTTTAGTTTTTACGAGAATGTTATAATCTACAGTGACGAAATTAAAAGTAGGTACATGTTTTCTTTGAAATTTGGCCTCAATTCCCACTATTAACTACAAATACTAATTTTTTAATTATTTCGTTATCTTTATCATTCAAGAGATTACATTTTAAAAAAAAAACATTGAAAAATCCGCAATACAATTTTAATTCAAACAGTTGTAGTAACAATTGTTGTCCATTGTTAGTTAAAAAGTCATTTTTATATTTTGACAAATGTCTCAAGTATTCTTTCTGTGATAAAAACCAGCTTAAAATTAGTCTTTCTGATCTCAATTGATTCAAAGAGCTAGGCGGTATGTACCAGGTTCGATCGCTACGCAACAATTCGGCATTGAAATATTTGAAAAACTTGTTCCCATATACAGATTCGGAAAGTCCCCATGGTTCATGGCTGTTACGTGAGAGCGATAAAGTAAGTCATACAAATCCGTGCGATAGACAAGGATGGTTACATTGAAAACGTTTCATAATCTGAATAGTTACTCTCACTTCTAACCCGAAATGGGCGGTGACTATTCAGATTATGAAACGTCTCCATTAGAGCCATCCTTGTCTATCGCACGGATTTCTTTACTTTACTTTGTCGCTCTCATGTAAAGGCAGATTTACCATGTGGATTTTCCAGCCCTGTATATTTAGCTATATCCGTCCACAGGTCTGGTCGCTCAGTTAAATAATGCGAACGCGGGCAAAGGGCGAACAAACACAGCCGGACTGGGCGATCGGCCATAAATTTCAGTTGTCGACAAATTGTCTAGCAGTGCAGTGAGCAACACGGAATTTGGTGTAATTCAGGTAATTTTGATTTATTATAGGCACCTTTTATTAATCATTCATATTACTATTGTGAAAAGGAGAAATAAGAGGGATATTTTGCTTACTTATTACAACATGGCATTTTGGAGACCTTTTGAAACGGAATAAAACGCCATCCCGCCGAATATTGAATTAGTAGAACCGGTTGTTAATGAAACAGATTTAGAATTTAAAAATAAAGACTTACATATTCAGTGCCAGTGTCTCATTTTAAATATTTACGATTGTTTAAAAAAGGAAGAAAATGAAAAACCAGATAATGAAATTATAAATAGAATTCACATATTAACTAAAGTTTCATTGTCCAGAATTTTTTATTACACAAGGTGTTATAGATCATTGCGTGAAGAGGAAGCGAAAACAAAAATTTAAGAATATCGATGATATGACTAGAGACGTAATTTGCCTGACATTTTATAATTTATATAAAGTTGAGAATATAAATAATTAAAATATGTTGTTGGCCAAATGAACATATAATCGAAATTTTCTGCACATTATATACAAATTATTATAATTTTTTACCTTTAGCAGAAAACTTTTTTAGGGACGCCCATGGAACTCAACAAATTTTATTGCTAGGCGTTTTTATACATGTTAACATGTTCAACTGACTTCGGAAAGACTATACATTTGTATGTACATACATATTGCTAAATGATGCAGCAAAATGTACTTGTCATAGGGCAAGACCGGATATTGCAAGTATTAAGTTGCAATGCGGGATATTTCCAGCATTCAAAGAGCTGTAGAGTAAAAAGTTGACATTTGCCAATATGTCTTAAAGTTGCGAAAAAGATTTCTTGCAACTTAAAATACTACAATTTGTAAATTCCTTTTACAAAACTCAGCACAAAAGGATAAACTTTAAAATTAACAACGTAAAAAATTGTCGCTAATTAAACTTTGAATTTTTAAAGCACATTTAACGCATACATATAACCAAATCCGAGACCAAATCCTTATATTAAAACAGTGTGAGAGGATGCACCTACAGAAATATTAAATTATTTTCAAATTAATTTAATTATTATCAGTTCGTCTTAGTCAACTTCCTGTTCAGTTTTCAAATATATGAATACCGTAATAATCGCTACCTACATGCTGCACTTACGCCGAGACTTACGCAATTGCAGATTATAGAGGTTGCAAAAAATTTACTTTCTAATGCCCATCTTGCAACGCGGTGGCTGCTTACAAGTTAATTTTGAAATTATCCGTATTTAGTTTAATTTCATGTACGTAAATGGTCGAATTGCATAAGAATTCGATGTACGGTAACCGTAAATTACAATTATATAACGGGCTCGTCAGGATTCATGCGAAGAGTATCAATATAATTAAGAATTTCTTTCTGGGTGTAATTATTTTTATAATTATTTTAAACAATTTTGTTTTAATGAAAAGTAAATATATTTTTTGTAACGTTATTTGAATTTTAATTCTCATTTATCATAATGGATATCTTAATAATTAATTACCTTTTTTATTATTATTTAAATAGGTATAAAAATGCTGTTTTCTTTAATAAGAAATGGAAAAATATTTAAGATGATTAAAATAAATAATACCCAAGTAATATTTTCTGAACCTAATTTTAATTATTGTTGATAAATGGTAAATGCATTTTTTAAATGGTCTCTAAACACATTATTCTCTTTTCGTAAAACTTTCCTTTATAATTAGAAAACGAAACGGTCATTCTCATGAATAGGAATATACTTTTTGTGACGAATTAATTTTCGGCTCACAGACAATGTAACTGATCTTAGTGTCACAGTTTGTCGATGACTTTCATCTTAATCACAAATAAGTGACATATTTTTACACTTTCCACAGCCACAGTATTATGATAGTCCGAGGTATTTATTGTTAGCGCTTTAAAAATATTTGGGAATGTTTACTTATTCCAAATTGACGTTTAAATATGATTTATACTTTTGTTTACTTGAGAAAACGAAAGTCCATTGTAGTTCAACAATAAGTAATAATTACTAATTCTTGCATTCATAGACCTATAGAGGTTATTGTTACAAATTATTATCCTTACATGTATCTGTAAATCGTGGAAAAATATCTATAATTTTCTTTATTGTGATCGGATTTTTTATTTAGTTGCAACTCAATGTTTAACGTTATAAATAATCATACAAGATTTCACTATATCATACAATTGTATACAATACTCTGTTACACCCGTTCCCAAACTTTTTTAAATATCATGACGCACTTTCCATGTGAATATATTTTCTCACATTCGAGAGTCTTATTTGCATTAGGTACAACTTTTTTTGAGATTAAATTCAACTTATGTTTTCGCTTAGAACATTTATATTTTTTTACCTACGACCACTAGTGTAAATACTTAAAAACACACCGTCTGCGATCAATTAAGATTCCTATTACGTACGGTAAAAAAATCTCACAGTTTTCCTAGCAACCGCCTAGCAACGGCCAATACAATACTGTTTGTATTGATCGTTGCTAGGTGGTTGCTAGGAAAACTGTGCGATTTTTTTACCAAGCTGTGCTTTTTTTTTACCGTACGACGTAATAGGAATTTTGCATTGATCGCAGACGGTGTGTTTTAAAGTATTTAAAGTAGTGGTCGTAGGTAAAGTATAGTACGTAATACGTGGTGTAATGCAGTTACGCACTCATAGAATTACGCACTCGCCGCTACGCGGCGTCATGCATAACTTTTCCATTCGTGCGTAAAATGCTTTTTACAACATTTATTACGTAATATACTATTACAGATCCAAAACGATAAAAGAAAGATCGTTTTCGTGTATTACTTTTAGTAAACATGACCTCATTTTGCTAATTTACACATTTCAAACGACAAAATTGTTCATCATGTTCCTATACTTCAGTGCCAAAATAGTAGGCCTTATAGTCATAAATAATAAAAAGTGCAATAGCATTGCAAAAAGCAATAAAGCACAATTTTTACAGTTTTTTATTCTGATAAAATAATTTTGGAAATTGTAATGTGTCATTTATTTCGCATAGTGTTCCGATAATAACCGTGTTTAGCTGAGATCTCCGTTAATCTTACCTAATTGATTAAACTTTGTTTATCGTGTATAACAAAACAAATGTGTCAGTTCCCATCTGACAATATGTGCCCGTCACAAGCGTACAAGATATTGAAAGCGACGAAAAATAAAAAACAAAATAAACTTTCGTTTAATTTAAACTGCACTGTACAATATTTGAAAAAGTCCCTTAAATTTGAAACCTTTTATCTCGGAAACAGTACTTTTTCTGGCCAAAGTTTACACAAATAAACTCTTTTGCTTATTTAAACCTGAGGAATGTTCCTTTAAAATTCACGCACCTCCTCTTTGGAACACTCTGTATATCACGAAAATGCAATTAAGTCGTAACGTGGGCGTGCATTGTTTTGAGCGACTTTTTTCACCGCGTGCCCAGAATTCCGATACGAAGAATGACTGGATTGTGTTGCGCGTGCTGCCTCAACAAAAGCTGCTCTTCGGCTTACATCTTACATCCGCCTCTTGAACTTGAAATTGCAGCGTACTTAATGGGTAAGTGGGTACGGATTCGTCATCGAGCCATCGCCGTGGGTCGAAATGCTCAAAATACTTTCGTGGTTCGGTTTATGGTGATCGGAACCGGACGCGATCTTTTCTCACGTGATTCATCCGGCAAAATTAGGAAATTTTCATGAATGGAATGCTCGTGTAGAATTTTTGTTAATAGTTTTTTTTTGTTTGTGATTTTTTGGGACACTGG